AGAGCACTGCAGAATCTAAATAAAGAGCTAAACGATTTGAGAGAAAGAGCACCACCCATCTAGGAAGAGACCTACACCCTATTAATCCTTTTGGCTGGGAATCATTCACTCAAGGACTGATGAAGTGGTTTTCTTCTGAGGTTACAGTTTAGGGTTGGTGGCTTATAGCTCACTATAAAGACAGCAAGCTTGGTCCAGTACACTTCACAGAGATATGGTCCATGTCATAAGACACTTGCAGTTGAAACAGATGGACAAGAGCAAAAGGAAGATTCTCTCCCCCGGCTCAATTTTTAATATAACAAATTTTCCTCTAATACATCCCTATTTAATGTTGTCTTCTACTTTACAATGTTTGTATAGAATAAACTGTCCTGTCTGTCAATTCTGGGTGAAGACGTTTTTGAACTTTCCCAGGCTGCTTGTTTCCAAGTTCTCTTTTGTTAGGACTTCCTCACTCCCATCCCAGCCATCCTTAATCAGGTGGGCAAGACATGGAGCACCACAGGCCTTGCATTTGTCCTGACCAGATATTTTCTTTAAAAACAGACTGTTTGCAAACAAACTCTTTGGCCTGGATCCTCCCAGAGACCTGTGCACAGAGGGGACTCCCCACATGCAAATCAACTCCTCCTGGCATGGAAGGTGGGTTCAGTCACCTGTACTGCACCATCTCTCTTCCTCTAGACCTTGCAAGGGCAGCCTCTTTACCCAGAATCTGTGTAGGGGGAGAAGTGGTGACTGGAGGGGTTGGGAGAAAACATAACCCTCCCCCTGACAAGCAGAAATGCTGTTTAATCTTTGCCATATTATCCCTTCTGGGGACCTCAGAAGCAGCAGTGGCCAGGGAGAGCTCCTGGTAGCCAGGGACATAAGGGGTAAACCAGTAGAGGCCAGAACCAATGCAAAGGCACATGGACTCCATGTGGATGGCCTTGGTCCCCTGTAGGTTCCTCAAGAACTGTAAGGGAAAAAACTGCAGAGTTTCCCAGTCAACCTGGAAGGAGGGGAGTGATGCCCCATATTGTACAATGAGGATGTATTTATTTATTTGGGGATACCAGGGGAAGATATTTTTAAGTGATCTTCAGAGATCACATGGCCCTTGATAATGCTGGTTTTTACCCAAAATGTAATGCCCGCTCAGAGTTTAAACTAAGATCCTACTGCACCTGCCAACAAAGATTGGCCTGACCACGTTCTGCAGAACCCAAATGCAACTAGAAAAAGGTCATTCGCTGGTTTTGGATTCATAGGTGCCAGGGCCAGAAGGGACCATTTTGATCATCTAGTATAGCACAGGCAATAGAACATCCCCAAAGTAAGCTCCTAGAGCAAATCTTTTAGAAAAACATCCAATCTTGATTTAAAAATTGCCAGTGATGAAGAATCCAAGATGACCCTTGATAAGTTGTTCCAATGGTTAATTACCTTACTGTTAAAAATGTACCCATTATTTCCAGTCTGAATTTGTCTAGTTCAACTTCCAGCCACAGGATCATGTTATATCTTTCTCTCCTACATTGACACGCCCATTATTGACTATTGTTCCCCATGTTGGTACATAGAATCTGTGATCAAGTCTTAACTTTTTCTTTAAGATAAATAGATTGAGCTCCTCAAGTCTATCACTATAAGGCATGTTTTATAATTCTTCAATCATTCTCCTGGCTCTTCTCTGAAACCACTCCAATTTATCGGTGTCCCTCTTGAACTGTGGGCACCAGAACTGTACACAGTGCCAAATACAGAGGGGTAAAATAACCTACCTACCTACTCGAGATTCCCGTTTATGCATCCTGGGGTCGCATTAGCCCTTTTGGCCATAGTGTCACATGTTCAGCTGATTATCCACTATGACCCTCAAATCTTTTTCAGAGTCCGGCTTCCCAGGAGTCCCCCATCCTGTAATATGACCTACATTCTTTGTTCCCAAATGTATACATTTACGGATATCAAAACACCATTTGCTTCTGCCAGCTTCTCAAGAGATCCATATCCCTCTGAATCAGTGACCCCTCCTCTATGTTATTTACCTCTCCCACAATTTTTGGGTCACCTGACAAACTTTATCAGTGATTATTTTTATGTTTTCTTCTGGACATTGATAAAAATGTTAAATAGTGTAGGGCTGATCCCTATTGGACCCCACTAGAAATGCACCTGCTTGATGAGGATTCCCTATTTATAATTACATTTTGAAAACTATCAACCAGTAATCCATTTACTGTGTGCCACGTTAATTTTATATTGTTCTAGTTTTTTAATCAAAATGTTGTGCGATAAAAGTCAAATGGCTTTCAGAAGTCTCAGTATATTAAATCAACACTTGCCTTTATCAACCAAACTTGCAATCTCAGATTTCAAATTAGTTTGACAAGATGCATTTTCCATAAACCCATATTGATGGACATTAATTATATTACCCTTCTTTAATTCTTAATCAATCGATTCCCATATTAGCTGCTCCATTATCCTGCCCAAGGTCAATGTCAGACTGACACGCCTATAATTACCAGGGTCTACCCTCTTTAAATACTGGCACAATATTAGCATTTTTCCAGTCTTCTGGAACTTCCCCAATGTCGAAGACTTATTGAAAATCAACATTAATGATCCAGCGAGCTCCTCAGTCAGCTCTTTTAAAACCCTTGGATGCAAGTTATATGGACCTGCTGATTTTAAAATGTCTAAATTTACTGGTTGCTGTTCAACATCTTCCTGAATGGAAAGAGTGTTACCATCATCAGTCATATGACTGCATCATCTATTTTTTCCCCAAATAGTAAACAAATATTAATATAACTCGCAGATACAGACAGACATCATCTTCCTCTCCAAGTGCAAACAGATGGACATCATACCAAATGGACTGAAGGTAAAAAAATCCATTGCATTCGACATACTACACCGACTATGGTGAGAGACCGTGCCACACACTTTTTTACAAAAATCTGTTGGTCTTTAAGGTGCCACCGGACTCCTTGTTGGTTTTGTAAATATTTATTGAACTCTTCTGCCTTTTCTGCATTATTATTGATAATTCTACCATTTCCATCTAGCAATGGCCAATACTACTATGTGGATTCTTTTTGTTCCTGATATACTTTAAAAACTCCTCCTTATTGTCTTTTACTCTGCTGGCCATAGATTTCTCCTTGTGTCCTTTTGCATCCATTATCAATTTTCTATAACTCCTACCTTGTTTTATATTCATTACTATCAACTTCCCCTTTCTTCAATTTTTTTAAATAGCTGCCTTCACTTCTCTTCTAAACAAGGCTGGTTTTCTAATATGGCCTTCTTCCTTTATTGGGGATTTTTGAGCATCTAGTAAAGTGCTCTTAATCAATTTCCAATTATCACTCACATTTTTCTGCTCATATTCTTCCTCCCAGCTGATTTACCTCACACTTGTTTATCCAGTTTTGTGAAATTGGCCCTTTTAAAGCATGAAGTTTTAGGGGGAAATGTAATGAATATATTACATTACTGAACGAATTCAAGGAATAACAGTCAACAGCTATTCACTCCCATTTATTCTATGTACCGTGCCCAGCACTATAGTTTGTCTCTATAATCTCTGTTCTAAAAACACATGTTGAAGGTCATCACAGTGGAATGTTTCCCCACATTCTTCATTACCCTTCCTTTCAGTTATAACAGCAGATGCAAAGTGAGAAAAAAATTACAAAAGAAATGTATTCTTATGTCTAACATTAAACTTCATGGGCTAATATTTTACAAGTCAACTGGGGAACATAAAAAGTGCCCAAATGTTTGCAATCTCTGAGAAAACCAAAAACACTCTATGGATACATGGGAAAAAAAACATTTCAAAAGGTATTAACCAAGCAAGATCTCTAAACCTTACCTAAACTTAACCCTATAGAGAGCCTTACCAAGAACACATCACAGAGTTAGATCACAAAAGACATCTTCTGGGGGGGGGGGGTGTCTTTTCAAACTTTCTAGAGTCTAATCTTGGAATGGAGCTTTACTTCTAGTACAGGTTTAGGTCGCTCATATAGGTGGCATTGCTTCTAAGATGTAAAATATGTATCCGTTCCTTTGTGTCACACACAGTCAAAAATCACAAGGTAACAATTTCATTTTATAAAATGGTACACCTTCCCTCCATTTTCAGTTCTAACTAGGGCACAGCCTAACAGTGGTCATTGCAAGGAATATTTATCCTAGTCCTAGGCCAAATGTTATTTTGATGCCACCAATGGGCCGTTCCCTAACTTTAACAGAAAATTAAAAAAAACAAACCCTTTCTGCCTGAAAGGTATTTTCTTTAAACACATGATTTATACTTTAATTCCAGCGGTGGGGAAGAAAAAAATTGGTCTCTCAGCAATTTAGCCATTTTTCCTGCACTGATGAAAATACATAAATAATTTCAGACCTCACAGTAATCAATTATGTATCATTTGTTCATGAATTTTAAGCAATTAAGAACTAAGACGATGACCAAAATTTAATGTTGTAATAAGAATTAGCAAAGATAACAGGACTATCTGCTGAAGAAGAGTTAAATTTTTTAAAGTGGTTATTTCTAGACAAAAATTAGAATAATAGTCTTTTAATCTACTTAAAACTAGATTTAAAAATTAAGAAAATTTCAAGTTTAGATATATAAGCACCACTTTTGTGCCCCCTGGTGCTCCTGTTTTGCAGAGCAGACGATCTTATAAAGTCATTTTTGTTTGCTGAACACATATAACTTCTACATTTGTGTCAACAGTGCTACTGTCCCATATTATTTAAAAAGGCACATATATACACTAGATTTTCTGGGTTTTTTTCTATTTTCACTTATCAAAGAACACTGTGATAATCTAGATAATTATTTTCTTTACAAAAGAGCATTTTGTCATATTCTATACATGCCACAGGATTATATTTATGATACCTTATAAATATGTCACATATCACATTTATTTTAGTGTCACTAATGGTATATGTTACTATACCCTCAGCTCTCAAAAACTCACCTCATCATCATCCATTATATGCTGCTTTGCAAATTCATACATTTCCGTCTGAAGTGTGGTTATGTTATAATATCGAACTGCTTCCTATCAGAACAACAACAAAATTTCCAGATTATTTTTTAGGCCAATAAGACATTGTGAACACATTTCTGAATTTCTCCCAAGGCATCAGATATCACCTGTGACTATTCTAGCAAACCCAGTTCCAAACTCAGCACTATTCTGGGTCAATTTCAAGACTGCCTCATATTTGCGAAAGGAAGATGGAAGTAACGAATAAACAAATACGCTAAGCAGAATATCTAATATTTTCAGTGAATCCTTCCAATTGTGTCATCCTTTTGAATCTTCTTGATGTCTTAAAAATTAGCCAATTTGAGACTAAATGAACGAGATCCCAAAGTAAGCAGCTATAGGGTCAAACCATACCTGGCCTTAGTGTATGTGTTCATGAAGAGGCACAAAGTGAGTGGTTAGTGTGCTTGATGGAGCCCAGGTCTCCTTCCACACCATTCTATGGAGTTGGCCAGCCATGGAGTGAGATGCATGCTGACAGTGGCTCTGGAGCACTTTTTATAGTGGGTGTGCTGAAAGCCAGCTAATGAAGCTGCAAACCATGTGTGTTCAAAAGCAATGTGAAAAAGCACAATTCCCGCTCATACCACACGGGTGCAGCACAGCTCGGGGATTCTCAAGAATCACAAAATAATGCTAGATTTCAGAGTAGCAGCCGTGTTAGTCTGTATTCGCAAAAAGAATAGGAATACTTGTGGCACCTTAGAGACTAACAAATTTATTTGAGCATAAGCTTTCGTGGGCTACCGCCCACTTCTTCAGATGCATAGAATGGAACATATAGTAAGGAGATATATATACATACAGAACATGAAAAGGTGGAAGTAGTCATATCAACTCTAGGAGGCTAATTAAGTAAGATGAGCTATAATCAACAGGAGAAAAAAAAAACTTTTGTAGTGATAATCAAGATGGCCCATTTCAGACAGTTGACAAGAGGTGTGAGGATACTTAACATGGGGAAATAGATTCAATCTGTGTAATGACTCAGCCATTCCCAGTCTCTATTCAAGCCTAAATTAATGGTATCTAGTTTGCATAGAGTTTCAGTTCAGCAGTTTCTCATTGGAGTCTGTTTTTGAAGCTTTTCTGTTGCAAAATTGCCACCTTTAAGTCTCTAACTGAGTGACCAGAGAGGTTGAAGTGTTCTCCTACTGGTTTTTGAGAGGTTATGCTCAAATAAATGTGTTAGTCTCTAAGGTGCCACAAGTACTCCTGTTTTTTGTTTTGTTTTTTTAAATAATGCTAGCTTTGTTCTGACAGCACCAGTAAACTTTTCACGGTGAAACCTGGGGGTGCTGCAGCACCTGCCGCACCCCTAGTTCCTGTGCCTATGCATGTTGAGATATAGTGCATTGCCCTCTACCCAGAGTGGTGGCTGAACATCACAATTTATCTTATAGTAAACAGTTGCTATGTTTGGTGGTATTACCACCATCTGCAATGTTTGTCCCATATAACTCTTTCGGGGAGGGTAACAGGAGAAAGGACTCCTCCTCTTTCACAAGGGTGTCCAAAGCATAGCGTACGGTTAAAATGCAGCCCCTGGCCAACTTAACCCTGTGTAACTGCTAGGGGAATGCAAAGCAGGTCAACTGTGGGATTTTCTGCTGGGCAACTCAAACAACAAGCAATTTCTAATCATTTTTGGAGGATCAAAGTATAAGCACAATGTAGTTGTATGCATTTAAAATAGTACATAAACATACAGGTGATGCAGGCTTTGAGCTCCTGGAAAGTAGTCAATGAATCCTACAGTGTCAAAGTATGGGTGTCTGTGCTTCTTTCTCTGCATTCCACATCCCAAATGTATTTGCAGGTGGCTAATTTCTTAGAAATTTTACATTTATGGCCATTACATAAGTCACTCCCTATGGATCTCGCAGCCATGTTGAAGACCAATGTTGAAATTCACTTCTACTTTGAAAGGGGACTACATAAAAATGGCACCGTCTCACACACCAGATCTGTTCCCTGTGTGAGCTCAGACTCATATCTGCTGGCTGTCGAGACAATGAGATTTTACTGCATTTTGCTCCTGTTAGCCCTGCAAAGCCAGCACAGTTCAGGGCTTGTCTTAACTACAAAGTTAAGTCAAAGAATAACTCGCGTGTTGCTCCAATTCAAGTCTCATCCACACACAAAACCCTTAAACTCGAGTAGTCGTGCTTTTAACTTGAGTTTGTTGACCTGAGAGGGGATATAGGCTCAAAGTTCAAGTGAACACAACTTGTCAGCTACTAACATGATCACTCTACAGTGTGGATTCAGGCTAGTGTCATTTGAATGCTGCTTGTCCTCCAATGCCTTCCCACAATTCTCCCCTAAGTGCCCAGAAAGGACAGACAAATTCTCCTACAATTCACGGAGCGGTTCAGGTTATTGCAGTATTAAGAATCATATGACATGCACCTACACGTCTAAGTGCCACACATGAATGAGTGCGGCCCCAGTGTGGATACAGCATCTTGAGTGTTATTTCACAGTGTGGCTGCTCTCACTCCAGCTAGGCTAACCCAAATTAACTGTGCAATGAAGACAGACCCTAAGTGAGTGTGAGCCAGATTCTATTCTGGATCATCCATCATCAACAGAAATGTTAACTAAATTCCAGTCAGTTACACATGTGCAAACCCACTGAAGCTGATGGGGTTGTGCATGTGTCACTAATGACATATTTTGCCTGCAGAACCATAGTACTGGCAAGAAGGCACGAGAAAGAACCAAGCTTCATTCTTGGTTCCCAGGCTGAGTTTGCAGAGCAAGCAGTTTACAAGTAAAAAAGAGAAAAAAAAAAGGTTTTTTTTACTTGTAAACTTGGAACATTGGATCTGGAAGTCAAGCTGAAGCTAACAACACAGAGCCCCATTATACCATTTTTACAGAGTCACTTTTCAAAGTATAGCCACACTTTATCTTGGTTCCTTGCTAAACTGGTTTATAACATGGCTTGGCCGGCATGTTTGGAAGAAAGCCATGTTAAAAGGTTTTTCAGAAGGCATTCTAGGTTAGGTGGCTAGGTGTAATACAGCATAGGTATATCCCAGCCATCCTGGCTAGAAAACTGCTTTCTCAAAAACCTTTTTAATGTGGTTGTTCCTGTCCACAGCAACCAAATGTGTTCTGAAATCGTTTGTGGAAAATGGTGTAAATATGGTTATTAAACATAGCTACATTCCAGTGCTTACAGAACTTAGAAAAAAACCAGGCAGCCTTCATGACCTGGGAGTGATCTGTTGACAAACAGTAAGTGACCAACAAGAGTCCCAATGCTATTGTGGTGCCACTTAGATCTAGAGACTTCCAGACTTCAGTGACTGGTTAAGGGGTGAGGGATAGCTCAGTGGTTTGAGCATTGGCCTGCTAAACCCAGGGTTGTGAGTTCAATCCTTGAGGGGGCCACTTGGGGATCTGGGGCAAAATCAGTACTTGGTCCTGCTAGTGAAGGCAGGGGGGCTGGACTCAATGACCTTTCAAGGTCCCTTCCAGTTCATAGGATCTTCATTAATTAAAATTAATTAGGTAGCCCTTGCAGGCAGATAAAATAAACAAGTGTAGATAAGGTGGTAAACAGGCATGTTTGATATCTCAGGGAATTAATGTGTGCATCAGCATACTCCAGCAGAGAGGGAAGAATTGTAAAATCCCTTCTCTACACATGTAGGACAACACACTATACAGATATTTTCCACAACTCTCCAATTCTAGTAAGTGAATTGTGTTTGACAAAAAAACCTTTAAACAATCCTTCTCTGCCATAACTTCCACGCTGTTGGATTCAGGGGTAATATTAGGGGACATCTTGCAAGCAATTTACCCACTCAACTTACTGGCCTGGGTTGGAAATCTTCCTCTGTGAGTCCCCATTTGTCTTTATGGTATTGATAGTAGACCATGTTCTGTTTCATCACTTCATCTTTCTGGTCGAAGAGCATGTAGCTAGCAACACAAGGGGCTGCATTCTTCATGTCATTCACTGAATTAATAAAACAAACATAAGCCTGCAGAGAAGGTAAATGAGCAACAGCCCACATTTCCCTTTACTATCCAAACTCAGGAAATTCAGGTGACAACAGGCGCAGTATTCCTCCTAAATTCTTCCCTCTTAACTGTATAAAATAAATAACCCCCCAGCAAGGACATACTTAAAAAACAAAAACAAAACAAAAATCCCCATCCTGGCCTACTCTGAAAAGCTTGGACAGAACATTACCTGGCTACAACTTTGCTCAAGTAACAGGATGAATGATGTGTACTACTCAGAGGTTATTTCATAAGGTGACAATATGCCAGACATGCTCCAAAGAGCCCACTTCTTAACTGTGGAGATTGTTTGAAAGATCTGCAATTCTCTCACCATAAAAATGCAAGAGATAATCTTATAAAAAACAAAAAACATAACCAAAAACTCTTCCTTGCATTCCAACAACCAGGGCAGTATTGGCCCAGTTCGGTCATCTTCCCCCATTCTGTGACATTTTTTATGGTAAAACTGAGTTAAGAGGGTGAGGGAAAAGCAAACAGGGAGGTGGATAATCAAATAGCACACACAAGAGGCACAAAAGACCCCAACCCAAGCCTGAATTTTACCCTCTGATAGGAGTCAGCAGGAGCTAGGCATGCATCCAAAGGCAGAATTTGGCTCTTAAAATGCAGGTCTACACCTAAAAAGAGACTAAAATTCTCAGTGATCTTCTTATCAAATGTGTTCCTTCTAACTGCCAGCCCTTCAACCTCAATGTGGTCTTGGAAAGTCAAGCCAGAGTCTTTCCTTTTGCCATGGGGTATGTACCCCCATACAGATAAGGAATGGATTAATGGGGGCCTGAGAAGCCAATTATACTACCTGGTTGCACCTGAAGATGGGCCTGGCTTAATTAAAGATGAAGCTCAGCTGGGGAAGGAGCTAGTCACGGTGACTATAAAGAGAGGAAGCACATTTTATAAGGAGACTGTCATCCTTTTCTTGGTATTAGAAAATGGAGAGATCAGCAAGATCACAGATGAAGGCCAAGGGAAGAGTTGGCCCAGCACCTTCTCTCCTGAGTAGCAAAGTCTAGCAAGAGGCCAGGAAAAATACATAGCAGACATCGGGCTGGCATACGCTCTGGTGAAGAGGCCTGATAATAAGGCAGGATCTGAACTTTCACAGAGAGCCCTGCAAGGTATCCCACTGAGGAGCAAAGAGGGATGGAAAGTCACACCTGAAGAGGGCAGAAGTTGGTTTAAGTTGGTACTCTTAGCTTGGGGATTTTGTTGGGGGATTCTGGGGTGGGAGAGAGTCCTGGCCCTGAGAGAAGGGTAAATGTGGAGAAGCCTGCTGACAGGCTATGGCAGGAAGAAGTCCAATGAGGCAGCAGCAAGGAATCTGATAGAGCAGACCTTGGTTGCTGGTTACAGCGTCCCTGGAATGAAACTCAGTGTAGTGGGAAGGCCTGGGTTCCTCTACTAGCTTCTGGGGAGGGTAATGAGAGGCCCCTGACCACCCCAAGAGAAGGGTGGTGAGGACTACAGGGGCCCATTGGGGGCAAAGCCCTTTTGTAAGGATGCTAGACTTTTTCCATTGGACTTTGTTTGTTACTCTGAAAATGGTGGAACTAAAGCATAACCTGGCCGGAGGGCTGTCACAAGAAGAGGTAGACTACTACAAGGCCAGAGTGGCTGTCGGCAATAAGCGCTAGAGGTGGTGTCTGCTGTGCCACGTTCAGCCATGAACGGGTGCACAGTAAGTCAACCCTTCTACACCTTTTCACATATCCACAGCAATAAAAGTTCAGCTGGTCAAATTAGGCTTTTGTTACACCTGCCTTCAGAGGGCTGCAAAGGTGTAATTGATTGGAAATTAGTAAACAATTATTTTCTGAACAAGGAACAGAACCTAGCTCTGTCTCTCAGCTGTATTGTCTCTGCAGAAGTTTAAAAAGTTTAGGGAAAAAAGCAGGGAAAATTCTTCTAATCACTGCAGTCAGCAGATGTGATTCTGAATACATGCAAGAAGCAGATCTGCTGAGAAAGCAGGGGCAATGTTTACAAAGTCACTTTTAAGAGTACAACTGCACTTTAATAACTGAGGGGTGTTCACAGAGCCAGCCAAAGACAAATGAAAAAATATCATAGAAAGTCTGCAAGGAAGCTTCCATACACAACTGTAGCCATATCAGCAGTTCCCATACCAAGTACACCCTATGAATACCTCGGTTGCCAAAACCCCTTTATAAGAATTATCACTCCTGAGAGAGTTTGCAATAATAGGTTCCCTCTTGATGCATGTCCCCAGTTCTAGTCAGATGAATGAGGTCCTACTATGAAAAGAAACAAATGTATGAAACAGTTTGCAGTCCTTTGTGACGGAAAAAATACTACTTGTAAAATTAATTTTCAATGGTTTGCATTATATTTGATGCACTGCCTCTAGGTCATAATTTCTCTTCTTCCTAGCTGAAACAGTTGGACGTCCTTGTATAACAAAAAAGGTCCCTAGTGGAGACAAGTGCTGAGAAGGACCAGTAGATTGTACCAACAGGAGATAAAGGAATGCAGCAGAATGTGACAAATAAAATCACGCTTATTCTGTAATTGTCTAAGATGCAAGTCTTCGTTTCTCTAATAGAAACCTGATTAGAGACCATTAACAGCCAAGCACCTCCTACAACTTCTGTCACTTCAGTGGCAGTTGAGGGGGGCTCAGCACTTGTCAGGATCAGGCCATAAAATGCTTTTGTCCCATATCACTTTCATATGGGGGCTATTCACCTCTCCTCACATATGTTTGTCTCCCATAGATATCAACAGCACTTACACATGCCCAGAGAGAAAGGAAACTAGACATCTTAGACTTTTAGGTCCAAAATAGATTAACTGCAATTTCAAGATGCTATAAATAAAATATTCTAAACCATTGTCACTAGAGGTGAAGGGCACTGAAGGAGGCTTGCCAGCACCATCCCAAGCTTATTTAAAAAACACAACACACTACTTACATTTATAATAGGCAAACTGTAAGTAATGGTACATGGTTGCCACAAACTTCTCCACAACAAAGCCTCCTATGACCGGCGTCAGGTTGATTTCACACTGCAGTTTGCATTCAAGGACTTCAATGTAGTGATCTAAAGGAAAACAGAGATAGAACTGGATAGAACACAGTTAGCTGTTTCAGAACTACTCCTGCAGCCAGCTCCCCTATACACTATGGCTCCATACTGCTCCCCTGGGTCGTAGGCACCAAGGTCCTGCCTGATGTTCAGAGATCCTTAGCCCTCACAATTCCAGCTGAAGTCAATGAGAAGTGTTAATGCTCAGCACTTCTGGAAATCAGGCCCCAGTGACTTCAGACCAAAAGTTTCAGTCACAGTAAACAGCTACGTTATGTTTTACAGACACCTAAAGGCAGCCTTTGTTGACACATTTTATATACAGTGATATTTCTATCTATTAAATGATTGAAATGGAGTACTGCTGTATTTCTACCTGTGACCTTAATAGAGATTTTTTTTAAGTAGTTGATACCTTTGCAGTCTTATTTAATTGTTTTGTCACAAAATAAAAGCTGATACTACTGGATATTGTCGTGCCAAGGAGAAAGGTAAAAGGTATTCTAAAACAATCTTACAGATTGTAGCTTTTTGCCTTTCTCCGGTATTTGGTCTCAAAAAAATAGATGCAAATATAACTTATTCACAGAATGTCTTTCATCCTATAAAGATCCTAAATTCAAGTTCACAAACTCATTTACAAACCACCCAACAGCTCAAAACAGGCTAGAACCAGAAGTAATAAATAATTTTGAGATATACTTCTTACAGGCCTTTTAAAGGATCTCAAAGTCCTGAACATTAATAACTCTTTAAAACTCAACACCCAGGTAAAGTAGATATTGGCGCTTCAGTTCCTTTGTCAACAAAATGGAACTGACAGGTAATGCACTGAGTCATCAACAGAGACAGTAAAAGATCAAGAACTCAGCCCCTCCATTCCTTTTCTCTATCTACTAAGCCCCCTTTCCTCCTAGAAGTGAAGACTACTGTATCCATTGAAAATGCAGGGTGAACATGGGAAGGCAGAACGTAATTACCCAATCGGAAATTGTTTAGGACATCAGGGCTTATCACTCCTACTTTCACAAAAGATATGGAATCTCTGAACGCAGCAATTAGCAATTTGGTGTTATGTCTTATCTAAATAACATGAGGCAAACAGCAAAAGTATTTCTGGGACTGATATCTGTATACAAGTATTATCCATAATTCAGGACCCTCAAATATAAAAGTGTTACTAATAAAATTAGGAACCCATTTCCCCATACTTGCAGTCAATTATAATTCAATTTAAAAAAAAGTTATCTTCACTGGTGGTGCTGAGACATTTCAGGATACAAGGTCAAGCTAGCCGTCCTTTAGGCAATTTAGAAATTCTGCTGCATTTCTAGTGCTGTGTTACCAGACACCTACCTTTGGAAAGAAGTGTCTCTGCAACCCCTTTACTGAGGTTGACATAGCTCTGGGGATGATACTTATTGTCATTGTTACTGAGGAGCAAGGAAAACTTACACATGCCATTTTGATAACACAAAAACTGTGGCTTTTCTAATTATATCCTTTGCGATGCAGCATTTAAATTTTTTTAAAAGTTATATAAGGAAAAATATTCCTCCTCAAACCACAGTGCATATCTCTACTGCAGAGCATGCAACAGAGATTCACAATACAGGCTGGAGAGGAGAAATTTGCCAGGTCAAATTTTGAGGCTGTGATGCTGTCTAGTAGGTTGCCAGCTCAAATCAGAGCCAAAGGCCAATTCACTTGTTAGCTGAGTTGAAAGGGAATGTTAATGGCATTGTCTTCACTTATCTATAAACCGGTTGACGCATTACATTATGTATGCCCCTGTAATTAAATAACCCCGGATTAAAGTGTGTGTGTATTCAGGTGTTAGAACTTCATGAATGCTAATGAATGATAGACACTTGTATTGTTTCACTTATCTATCCTTATTATAATATAATGGCAGGCAACGGCATTATTATATCACGGTATGGCTTTGTCTACACTTAAAACTTTTGTCAATCGGGGTGGGGAAAAATACACCCCTGACCAACATAAATTTCACTGACAAAAGTGCTGGTGTGGACAGCACTAACGTTAGCAGGAGAGGCTCTCCTGCCAACATAGTTAATGCCACTCATTGGGGGTGGTTTAATTAAAGAGCGGCTACATGGGAGACCTTACAGTGGCATTGCTTTAGCGGTACAGCTGTGCTGCTGTCAGGTCCGTAGTATAGACATAGCCTAACTAAATTACTTGTGAATGCCAGGAAATAGAATGCTGACTTGAACACAATGACCCTTGCTTTGAATAATGGAAATTCACAGGCTCAATCTGCAATTGCTACTCATCAAAACCCATTTGGGTGAAGAACTGTTCAGATGGTCTTCTGTGAGGAGGATCTATAAATACTGGTTTGAGGGAATGATACTGTATCTCTGGACTGATGGATTCTGACAGGGTGGAATACTGAATGACTGGACAGAGATTCTCAGGCTTACCCAAAGTTATTTTGGGTAAGCCTGAGAGACGTATAGAAAATTAGCAGATTACTACATCTCTGCTATCACTTTGAATTTACAAACTTGGATTCACCTATTAATGTATTTTATCTGCTTTAACCTCTCAATAACTCTAATTTCTTTTCCATAGCTAATAAATCTTTAGTTAGTTTACTAGAGAAATTGGCTGTTGGTGTTGTCTTTGGTGTGAGATCCAGAGTATCCATTGACCTGAGGTAAGTAACGAACCCATTGGGGTTGGAAATAACCTAAAGTGACATGCCGCTGCTTCCGGGAGCCGCTTGAGGTAAGTGTAGCCCAGAGCCTACAACTCTGAGCCTCCCCCCACGCCCCAACTCCCTGCCCCAGCCCTGGTCCCCTCCTGCCTTCTAAATCCCTTGATCCCAGCCCGGAGCACTCTCCTGCACCCCAAACCCCTCATCCCCAATCCCACCCCAGAGCCCGCACCCCACCTGCCCCAGCCTGGAGCCCCCTCCCACATCCTGAACTCATTTCTGGCCCCAGCCAGAGCCCTCACCCCCTCCTGCACCCCAACCCCAATTTTGTGAGTATTCATGGCCTGCCATACAATTTCTATTCCCAGATGTGGCCCTTGGGCCAAAAAGTTTGCCCATCCCTGTCCTAGAGCTAAGGTGCTGCCGAACACCAACCTGCTACTGAAAGATAAAAATCTTTAAAATCTTTGATCTCCCGGGAGCCTTCACAGGCTGCAAGGCAGTCATCATAGGCTTTGAAGAAATCGGGAAGTGCCAGCTCCATATCAGAGATGGAGGTCCTCCAGTTATCCCCATTGTATGCCCTCACAGCCCTGACAAAGAGAGTCTGAAAAACAAGCAGGAGTGAGAAGCAGCAGTTTTTAATCTGTGGAAAAAGTAGTGGCACTATGGGCTCCAGTGAATAAAAATAAAATGTTGAATTATGGGGATTCAAATACAATGAATGCCATTTATTTCTCAATCTTAATACAACCTCATTTACTTAAGTATCACGTGGGAATAAGTAAGTAAATTTAGATAATCAAGAGAGATTTCAAGGTATTTACTAGAGAGTGGGGGACATGATCCTATTTCAGATAGCTGATAGATAAGTTTGTGGAAGAGAGATTTCAGTGTGACCCTGAGCCACAATCAAATTTTAAAAATATATTTTTTCAACAAGGTCCAAATGACCTAATGAGAGTTCTAGGATATGTCTACACTGCAAAGAAAAACCTGCGTCACTGTGTCTCAGAGCCCAGGTCAACTGACTCCTACTTGCAGGGCTCAGGCTTCAGGGCTAAAAACATCAGTATGGAGTTCCTGCTTGGGCTGGAACTTGGACTCTGAAACCTGGAAAGGGGGGGAGGGTCTTGGAGCCCCAGCTTCAGCCCAAGCGGGACCATCTACACTGCTGTTTTTAGGCCCGCAACCCATGCCCAAATCAATTGACCTCGGCTCTGAGACTCGGTGCTGTGGGTTTTCTTTGCAGCGTAGATGTATTTCCTAGTTGTTTTAGGCCTTGATCCTGCACTTACATACCTGAATAACTTTGCATACTTGCCTAGTCCTGTTGATTTCATTACTCGCATGCACAAAATTAAATGGTGGTTAAATCTTAGCAGGATCTGGCCCTCAGCTTGGACACTATTATATAAAGGCTGCTTTGACTTCATCGTTTACTATAAACTAGCTGGATGACATACCTACAGGCATAAAGTTCCAGGTCAAAAGGAGTAAGCTTTCAAATCAGTGTGCTAGTGTTGTAGCTATATTTACTGTAATGAGGAGAGGGTACAAGAGAGCGATCTTGAGATGAGTTTTAAGAAGGGATTTGACAGAGGAGAGAGAAGATTGTTGGCAGATGGAAAAAAGGAGACTGCCCCAAGCACAAAGGGTAATGTAACAGGATGTGAGAAACAGAAGGTAGCAAACAGGTGATTGAGAAGCTGAGAAGGAATGGGATGGAAAATAGGGATAGAGTTCAGAGCAAGATTATAAGAAGAATGAGAACCTTGAATCTAATGCATTGAGAGAGAAAGTCAATGGAGGTATTCAAGGAGAGCAGACTGCAGGTAGAGAACTTACCTCATATGGCTTTGTCTCCAAGTCTTTAATATGTTCCTCGGCATCAGGCATGCTCTTGTAATAAGCCATATTCCTCTGCATCATCTCGTCATTTGGGTGCTTCAGCAGAAATGTATGAGCTGCTGCAATGGCTTTTGGAAAGTTATTAGCCTAAACAAGAATACACTTAATGGAAAAGCTGCTTTTTTAAGTTATCTGATTTTTGCCAGCAAACTTTCCTTCCATGTCATTGTACACATTTATTTCCACTTTGCAGAATCAATGAATGACCTCTGGAGACTTTTCACTACAGCGCCAGAATCAGCAAGTTCATATAACTGTCCGGCTACGAGAACCAGAGGGTAGATTTAGTGGTGAACATTGAACGAAAAGATTTATTTATTTATTTAAATAAAGAGAACTGAATTCAACTCTGAAATAAGCAGAATAAAACACACATTAAACATTTTCTTTGCAGGTCTGAAGAGGAATCGTCCCCAATGTTCTTTTTCAACAAAACTATGTGGTGTGGAGTTACACTATTAAATAAAAAAAAGTGACTGATTCCTGGCATAAACTGCAGAAAAAAAAAAGTGTATTTACCATGAATTCACACACTAAGTGTTGCAAGGCACTAGGACATACCATATTGCTCAATTACAATAAATCACTCCACTGTTTGACTGCCTAAAAGCCACGTACTGCAGATCGTTAGATTTCTGGATGCCATTTTGAAATTCAAGTATTACATTTGCTCTGGTGTCTTACTTTTTATTTCTTAACCACTGATAATCTGCTCTACAATCTACTGTACAAGACCCAGAAAAAGCACTGTCTGTGAGCTAAGGAGTTTACAATCTAAAAAAACTGCAATAAGGTGCTACATTTTGGGACATAAAGAATTTTATCAGACACCCACTATGCAGAGAACAAATGATAGTGGCGTGAAAGGAGGGCAATTAGTGAGGTCACAGCTCCAGTGGGTCCGTTCTGCCACTCAAAAGCATTCCCAAGCATCAGCAGAGTAAAATTGACATGATTCTGGTTAGTTTTACTGCTACTAACACAGTTCTGAACTGTTCATTTTGTCTTAATGTTTACCACCTATTGTTACAAATAACAGCTATGATTATTATAAATCAAAAAGACCAGCAATTTTTATTTTTTTCCCCTCCCAATTCATAGAACGGTCAATGCACAAAATTTACAGTTTCCTTTGCATAGGGCCCAATCCTGCACCACCTTTGTGCATAAATGGCTGATGAATTGGGCTCAGTCTGCCAGCTTCCTCTGCTGTTTATGTAATCATTCACACAGCAACAGGGGACAAATATATATATAAAAACACCTGGGAAAATGCTGTTATAAAACCACAACAATTGGATGGTGGACGGATAGGCCAATACTCTACCTGGTCATTTATTTAATTGACCTGATTTCAAACTGACATTGTCCCTTTGAGCCACATTAGAGATATTTAGCAAAGTATGCATTTGGTACCCAGAACTATTTACACGCCAACTTAGCTGGAGGGGGAGAGGGTAGCAGGAGGGAGGGGAAGGGAACCATCTGACATTTCTGGAAGTGCTAAACCATTTTCTCCCCATGCTATGATAAGCTAAGATTCTGGCCAACACAATCCAGTGGGCTCTTCACAATGTCTGAAATAGCTTATGCAAATATACTTATGAACAAAAAACTCAAAACAAACATGCACAAAACCCCAACATTTTGCTTATAGAAGGAAAAATTTCATTCCCACTGGCTAAATCAAGAGGAGAAAGGGCACAAAATTGCCAATCCCACCCTTAAGTATAGCCTGGCTGCTGTGAAGCTATAACTGTCAAGGAACTGGAATGTTGCCAATAGCATTTACTAGTCTTCTCCACATATTATATCTGTAATCAGGCCAGACATAGCAAAGGCCAAGAATAACTCAGCTGCACTTTCGTCAAATGTCCAGTTCTGCTTCCTGTCTTGTGCTTTATTCTTCAAACCTGTTTGCTGGTTAGGTTGATATTTATTTCTCTTCTGCTTAGTCCATGATTTATTTGTAATCTCAGTGTGTTACATTTAAAAAAAAAAAAAAGTTGTATACATATTGAAGAAAGTAAACTCGGCAGAAATGAGAAAGACAAACCTGACCCTTCAAAGGAGCAAATGCAGGAATAAGAATATCTGCTCCCAAGATCTGAGACGTGGCAAAGTTTCTCTTCTACACTCACATGAGTAAATACTAAGTCACCTGAAAAATTTCATCCAAAGTTTCCCCTGACAGCGGTGTTATGGAGAAAATAAATGACAAACATTCCTTCCTTAACAAAACCCGTCAGCCAAGAAACGGTTTGTGGGGCCTGCAGTGATTTATAGCTGCAAGATACCTAGAATGCAGAAGCCACATAAAGCTCTTAAATCTGATGATTGAATCAAATTGCAAATTATAATATATTCTGCAAATGATCTCTCATATATTTTTGTTGTTGCTTGAGTTAAGGCACTGTCGTGTTTGCTAGGAATTTTTACTGAATACTTTACGCATAAACATTTTATGTATCAGGCATGCTTCCTATCGTGATCATAAGTACTTTGTAAAGACTGCATGCTCTGTAAAGGGAACAGGTGGTGAAGACAGGTGGTGGGGACGGGAGGATAAATTAGGGCTGGTATGGTCAGGTATATATTGGTTTGGGAATTAGGAGAGTGAATATGAGTTGAGGGTACAGTTACTGCCCATTCATTTTTAAAGAGATGTATTTGGTACCTCATGTCCTGCAACTTGTATCTAATAAGGAGTTACTGATCTACATGGTAATTTTTGTTTGTTTGTATTAGGTGTGAATTTAAATCAACCTAGTTATGTCGAAATAACTCCCCACCCCTTTGTGAACACTCTTATTCTTGCATAAGCGTTTTTTTTCCTGTTTATTTCATGACAACTGGGAAGATTTCTGGTTTAGATTATGTTACTTCACAAGGGGTTTAGCTTATACTAGAAGAAGCCACTCTTATAATGGAATAAGGCCTGGTCTACACTAGGACTTTAATTCGGATTTAGCTGCCTTA